GAGAAGTTCCGATAAAACATTAAAAAAGCGTCAGATGATTAATCAGGTCCAAATAGAGTTAAAACGACAAATATATGAACAAAAGCATATTGTTTAAGGAATCAGGATCACGTTTTATCATTCCTAAATTTGACTGTATACAATCAATCATTTAGATAAATGAACTGTTGACCTGTTCCTGCGTTATATTTAGTGTTATTTATGATCACAAGACCAAAATATATAAATAATGACTGAAGAAAAAAAGGAATAAAGTAATTCAATCACTTGATTGATTTGTGATAGGCATGGATTTGGCTGCTTTTAAAGTTGATATGATAAGCAAATCCAAATTTCATGAAATATATGATCTACTAAATCATAAATAAGAATATACTGCCATGAAAACAGTAATTTTTACGTTATAAATTATGTTTTAATTTATTTCTCTACATGATTAAAGAGTATTTTCCCATTAAATTCAATATCATCATTATAAAAGTGTCGGTATGATATCGCATATTCTAAAATGCGTTTTACTCCACTTATAAAATAGATACTGACTTTGAGTGATGTGTATAACACAGAGCACTCAAAATCAAAGTATAATTCCATTCTAACACGTCAAGAAAAAAATACTTGTATAGTTGGACTAGATTTTTGGTGGTTAAATTTGTTTGTTCTCAGATGTTCTAATAGCAACGTTAAAGGCATCTCCAGTCGGTTGAAAATAACTCTCGTTAAATCTACCGTTTTGCACAAACATTTTGAGAATAACAAATTTTGAAAATGTTGATTTAGTTTTAGTGCTTTTTTTATTTCTTTAATTTATATTTTTCAAGCGAAATACAGAGTATTTTTAAATTAGTAAAATAAAAATAGTGAAATAGAAGTTATATTAATTTTACTGTTTTGCAGCATTGAAATAGCGTACTTTTTGACGGCTTTTGCATGCGCTGTTAGGTGCTGCATTGTGGCATCACGATAACAACACTTCAAACGTCCGTACTGCGTTAATGACTGAATTAAAGACATTGGTGTTTTATTTATCGTCTTTGACCATTTTTGACCATTTTCTATAATTCTAGATAATTTTCAAAGCAAAATACAACAAAAAGTTGTTTAATATATCAAATTTCTTTCAAACAAAATGGCGCCGTCAATGTGTTGGTTCAACATGCAAATACGGAGGGAAAAAAATAAGAACGGCGAATGCATTATGGTAGAATAACGCGCGTTTCCGGCCTTCATTGTTAATTTAGAGGAATTTCCGATAGTGTTAGAATACTGGTTTACTGGATTTTGTATGAATAGAAATTTATAAAAAAAAAGAAGTTTAAAGAAAATTTCGTTTCATTTATCATTATTTTATGTCCTTAAAAAGTATCGATTCTTTAGCTAAAATTGGTAAAAACCACAAATTACCGGAGCCAAACGTGACTTACTCATTGTCATTAATCCATTGCGAATTAGCCAGTGCAACAGCTTAGGGTCTCCGCTTTACGACTGAATAAATTTCTTTAATATTATGGACATCACAAAAATCTCTGATATTGTGCAACTCAATAAAACGGAAGAAAATGTTTATCATAATTTTTGTAACCTTGTACTGTAGATTACTAAGTACAGTTAATACAGTATAAAAATCTTATTTTTAGATAAAGCATGTGGTTTACAATATCCAACCGGAAATTAAAACCTCCCCAACATGTTAATGTTAAAGTTATTTTGTTAAGTTTGATTAAGTACAATCTGTAACATGAAACTCTTGAACAGCCCAGTTAAGTCAAATTTATTGCATTGAAACCTCAAAGCATTTCCTTAACAGGGAATCTAAATTAATTAAAGGCAGAGCTTGGAGATAGTCACAAAATAAATTATGAACTGTAAGGACATTAAATAATGAACGCGTTCATTGTCTTCACGAGAAAGTATAATTGGTACGAAAATTGATTGTAGCTTCATTCTGTAATAATTTCATTCGTAAAAGGGAAGATTTTCAAGTTCAATTTACATTTCACATTTCTAATCTTAAAATGAAACACAAATATTCAAGTGCACTCAAAATACATTATTTGAGTAGAAATCAAGATTCTAATTTGATATTGAACTTAAAATGGAAATTGCGTCATAAATATGATTATTTTGCATTCTTACGTTGTACAGTTGCTTTTTTCTTTAAATCTGTACGATCTGATCTGATTTTGATGACGTTTTTTTTTAAATAAATTAACTATAAAAAGCTTCATTTAGAACCTTAAAATTGTCAGGGTTTTTTTTCAGTATCATATACTTACATTGTGCCCATCATTTCCCCTACTTGAAAAAATGACATTAGGTAGAATCGTTCTATAACAATTACTTTTCCTTCATTTGTTTTAATTTTACATGTACTTAGTTTAAAAAATTATCGAAAGAATTGTACATATGACAACCATTCATTCGCAGCTTTTTACATAACGCATACACTATTATCTTGTAACAGTAGTAAATAATCGACAAATTGATCACGAAGACCAGAAAACGGGTGCTTAATGAAATGTAAAATCGATAATTCATAATTGACAATACTTAAAACAATCATTTTCAAATTCACAGGACAATCCTTCATATATGATTATATAAGAAGGTACCATAGGGTATCGCGGTACAGTTTGTTAAAATAATGAAAAGGACAAAAAAACAAAAGGTCAATTAGGTCAATCTGTCATGTGTAAAGGTGGCACAACCTATTCATAATTAAAACTTGTTCGAATTGCACGATAAAGGCGGACACGGTGTACCCGCGAGGAGGACTTTACTCATTTAATCTCATTATTTTCAATAGTTTGAATAATTATGAGGAATAATCACTAACAAAAACAGAACTAAGAAACTATTAAAAGAAAAGCATATTTGAATAAAATCATGCCATGGAAAATTTTATAAGTTGTTTAATGTTTTTGAAATTATCAATGTTGCAAGTGAATGTATTAAATATTATAAATTACAATGTACAATGTATTTATATGTTTCACAGAATTGGATATCTCTTTACAAGCTATTATACGAATCAAAGCCTTACATGTGATTCTATTATACGATGTACTTGACCTAAATTAGTGTACTCTTGTCCATCATTGTAGAATCAGACACTGATTTATTCCTGATTTAAAGTACCTTAAAGTACCTTATATTTATGATGTCAAAGTGTCCGTAAAATAAGTATCCTGTCTTGCCTTGTCAGTAATAGAGTAAAGAAAGTCTTTTCCGATGGGGGTTTGTCATTTGTTTCGGAATTTTTTTCGTGATGCCCGTTTCTGAATTATTATGATCATTAAATTTAAGAAAAGGCTATGTTGAATTAAAACCATTTTTGAGTTCAAATATAAAAAAACTGCTTTCGTAACATCTCAATGCTGTGGGTTAAAATCCCGTAAGACTTCTTTGAATCTTTGATGTGAGAAAGCTATCCAGCTAGCCTACAGAACGTCAGTGATTCTACTCAGGTGCCCGTGTTTGCCTGTAATAATGCACAAAGGTCTTCCTTCACCAGTAAAGCTGAAAAGTAGCTACATAACGTATTCTGTATATGTCCGACGTAAACTATAAAAGAAAAATAAAACATTGCATAAATATAACCTGCTGTATAAAGTCATTAGTTTAATTATATTCATATGCTTCCTAACTCGCATAATATTACAATTGTTACTATTTTTGAGTTGTAATCAAAGAGATGAATTTCGTCTTCTGCATTCGGCGGCAAAAACCGAAACAAATGTAAGAATAGATATTTTAAAAACATCATACTTTTATTACAGTACTATAACGCTACAAGATCTCAAACAAATAATAATTTTTATAAGCTAGAACAGAAGTGATGTATTTTGTTACTAAACAGAATCAAAAATCAATAGAAAGCAAAACGGATAACTGTCTTAAAGGCCATTTGATAGACTTTTCTTTGTTATTCTACAAAGCAGACGCATTGACATTCATTATAGTGTTGATAGTTAAAATCGGATTGTGCTGTGAACCTCTCATTAATATATAAATATTTTCTTGGTTGGGTTTTATATCGCACCAATACAGTAGAGATCATATGGCGACTTTCTAGCTTTACTGGTGGAGTGAAACCTCAAGTGCACTTTTGTGCTTTATTTCAGACTCGAACTGGCACCTGAGTAGTAGAACCATGGACGTTCTTTCTAGCATGATAGCTTCCTCACATTAAAAAATCTAAAGTCTCTGACGGGATTTGAACCCACAGTGGTGAGGTGTGAGAAGTTTGAAGCCAACGACCTTTTACCACTCAGACACGGACTCCGAAAATATATAGTTGTAATGTATTAAGATCAAACTACTGAAAACATTTGCGTTACAAATGACAAATTTAACTTTAACTTATACCTTTTTGTGTAATATTTAATCAAATTTCAGCCTTTGAATAAGAGCGTTAACAGGGCATAAATGACCAGTTTCTCTAGGTATTTTTAGAAGAACAGGAGTCCCTCTTTGATTTGTTTTAAAATGACGCAATTTAATAACTGCATACTCTTTTTGACCTACAAATGTCAAATCCGATAAACTGAGCACATTTTCAGCTTGCATGCCGGATGACGTAACCAATTTGCTGACCCGAAACAAACCATAACAGGCCAAGGTAAAAAGTGACTCAAAAAACTTGTTTTCATAAATACTATAACACACGCTCGGTAGTGAATCACACACCGAAACCAAGGTGCGTATTGTTAATGGTGCCCGACAATCGTTAGTTATACGATTTCTGCGACAGCCTTCTAATAATTTGTTGACCATAAAAACATTATTTATGTCATAAAAACCATATAATTTATGGTAATAATTCAGGCCAGCGATATAAGTTGTAATAGTTTTTGGCGATTGGCCTTTCTCAAAACAAAATGCCATAAACAAAATCACGTGATTAATTGGAATAGGCCATTGACTTAGCATTTTGTATGATAATCTAAATTTCTCGGACATATTGACGCTAGTTCGGTAAGTTGATAAGGAGTTTGATGCTAGTCCCGATTGTAGCAGTTGTACAACTCTAGACTGAATTCGTTCCATAGAATTTCTGGAACCTTGCAAGGGTTAAGGTCTGCTTCCGGTGCCAACTCCCTGAATCGAGATAGCTGAAACCGAGACAAAGCATCACAGATATGATTTTGACAGCCAGGGAGATAACTAGCCTTAATTAAAATGTTGAGTCTTAAACAGCGTAATGCTAAAATTCTGACAAGACACATGACTGCCTCTGATGTTGACGTTAACTTATTGAGTATATATGCACAACTGCAATATTATCACAATTAAATTTTATTTTTCTGTTTACTAATTCCTCGCCTCAAATGAATAATGCGACTAAAATGGGAAACAGTTCTAGAACAGTAATATCCGTGGTGATACCTAATTCGTGCCACCACGTTGGCCATCTTGCATTGCACCAATGACCCTTGAAGTAAAGACCAAAACCTAAACCTATACCCCCGGCACTATCTGAAAATAACTGGACATCCTCATTCGAGACCCAAAATCTGTCATGAAAAACGGAATTACCGTTAAATGATTCTAAGAAAACTAGCCACATAGACAAATCAAATTTTATTTCTTTTTTTTTATTCTAATTTGATGATGAGATTAGTAAGCCCACATATTGAATTTATTAAGCGGCGAATACATGGCCGACCAATAACAATGGCACGACAGCAAAAATTTAAAGATCCAATTAAAGATTGTATCTCTTTTAATGTTGACTTTTTACGAGATAAGATATTCCTTTATTTTTCCAACAACCTCGGTTATTTTGGTCGTGGGTTCTCACAAACATTTTGTTTGAATCTAACTCGAGGCCGAGGAAAACGAGGCTTTCCGTGGGCCCCTCGGTCTTATCTTCGGCTAGGGGTACCCCTAACTCCGACATTGTTTCTCTAAATATTTGCAATGCCCTATTGCAAGAGTCCATCGACGTATCACCTCCCAAAAAATCATCTAAATAGTGAATTAATTTCCCCGATTCAAAATTAAATGTAATGCGAAATTCTAAGAATCTTGAAAATCTTTCAAAGGTTCTGCAGCTTATAGATGCTCCAAACGGAAGTGCCTTATCGAAATAAAACTTATCATTATAACGAAAACCAAGCAACTCAAAATCTGAAGGTTTAATAGGTATCAGACGGTAAGCACTTTTAATATCGGATTTAAATAGTTTGCAGTGCTGACCTAGATCTTGAATCATTTTGATTGCCTGATCGAAACTGGTGTATTGAACCAGACCAATCGGGGATACAATTAAGTTTGGTAGTGGACGCTCATTGAATGGTCCAGCAACCCGGCCAGCTATAAGTTCTTTATTAATTTGACTGTTTATTGTTTCCGGATTTAACACAGGTAGAACGTAGATTATTGGAATCACGTGCAACACGGGGACCGGAATACTGTAGTGGAAAGCCATTCTTAAAACCATCAAATAAAACCTCTGCTTCAATTTTATTATAAAATTGTAAATAATATTGCATGGCCGAAAGTTTAATTGGTGATTTCGCAATACATGTATTATGAATATCTGGATTTGACTGTTTTTCTGATGTACAACAATGATTCATCGATTTACTTGTTTGACTGCCCTCTATTGTAACCTCTCCCTTTTGAATGGGACTGAGACCCCCTACCTTGAAAATTACGTTGAAAAGCTGGTGTACGGCTTTTCTGTGTATAACCAACTGAGTTTGAAGAGAAACAGTTTATCTCAGGATGGGGCGCATTTTACACTTCGCGCATAAGTAGGGAAATTTGCAGTTTTGCCACGTGCATCTACCATTATTAAAATCAAGACACGTGTACTTAAATTTTGAAACGTTTTGGGCTTGATCAGGCTGTCTAACTTGCATACACCGCCACCATAGGTCATTGTTGATTTTAGACCATGTTGAAGGTGTAATAGCCTGGCGTAAGTGAAACTACTCATCATAAGTTTTTTTCCAGGCTGACCCGCCTTGTCGCATAGCACATTCTCTTATATTGTACATATAATGTAGCAGTAGCATAAACTTTGTCAAAGTTGGCATCGACGCGCGGGTTATCCTGCACGTGCTCTTGACTCTGCTGGGACTGGGCGCTACCACTAGCATTTACTGCTCTACCTGCACGACGTGGAGCTGAATTTTCTTGACATTCGACGGTCCCTCGTGCATTTCTCTGCAAACGACGCCCCCCTAGAGGAATTTCAGGTACTGAAGCTGCCTGTCCTCTCTCGCTGCGTCGCATAGCCGTTTCTATTCTCGAAGGTTGAATCCTTCGGCGTGTACGACCTCGTGGCATGGCAAATAATTTTCAGCTTACTCTAATTTGGTGTGTTATAGCTTCGTCGTCAAACAATAACTGAGAAAGTTGCACCAGAAACTCGAGCTTTTATATTATTAACAGCTAATTCTTTAAACCCGGCTCTATATAGAAATGGTAAGATAAACACGGTAACCAGTGTAATGTAAACAATCTATAGATAATGACCGAGGTTTGCCGATTGCCGCGTAATGATAGCTTTAAACAAGGTAGCAGACGATTATTTCTCTAAAATAAATTGGATTATTTAATTCTAAAATAATCTTTATTATTTACAAATAATAAAAGCTGCATTTTATAAATTTACTAAAAATAGAAACAGCTTCATTTCGTCTCCTGTTCTTATTTTAGTGTCCAAACAATCAAAATGAGCTTTATTAACTGTCTGCATCCTCATTGTGGCGATATCTAAAAGTACATATTCTGTTTACACGAGAAACGTTGCCTTTGGGTCATCCGGACATCAACACACATTGCTTTAAGTGGCAGTCTAAATTTAGCGATATATTTCTGTATTATATAACGAATGTTTTTATGGAAATGTTATCTTCTCTTATTATTTATTTTTCCACTTTTGTGAACGCCAGGAAGCTTGTTTGCACACCTGAATAAGAGGGAGACTTCTACATTTGCCTTGCATCTGATAACATTGATTTGACATTATTTTTCATGTATTCATTACATGTACTATGATTTGAATGTTTGTATATTTTGATTGAAAAATAAAAGAGAAAAAAATGTTAATTTTTCGAATGGCATGTATACACCAATGCAAAATGCAGTCTCGCTTGAAATTATATTACATTGACAACTTTTTGGAAATTGTTCCAATAACTCTTGCTGATTTGCTGTGAGAAATCAGAAGAGTTTCCTCTCTTTTGATATTAAAACAATCTGTAAAAATACTAGCACAAATTTATTCTACAATCTCATATCACGGCATATAGGGTAAAAACCTTTTTTGGAAATAATATCGTAACTCTGAGCACGTTAAGGAACATTGCTGTTTTGAAATTCTGACTACAGTTGGTTGCACCTTTCCCCATTACCTCTTACCACGCTTAACATGTTTAATAGACTATCAAGAAAACCATTCACTAAACAACTATACAGCCAACAGTGCAGACTATGATCTAATAACACAGATATGATGGCTGATCTTTGTCTGTACTAATAATGTTTGTTACCAGAAAGCGTTTAAATAGAAATCTTTATTCGTTCCATTTCAAATTTAATTTTACGTTTATTATTAAATGAAATTTAAAGATCCAATTAAAGATTGTAATTCTTTTAATGTTGACTTTTTATGAGATAAGATATTCTTTATTTTTCCAACAACCTCGGTTATTTTGGTCGTGGGTATTCTCACAAACATTTTGTTTGAATCTAACTCGAGGCCGAGGAAAACGAGGCTTTCCGTGGGCCCCTCGGTCTTATCTTCGGCTAGGGGTACCCCTAACTCCGACATTGTTTCTCTAAATATTTGCAATGCCCTATTGCAAGAGTCCATCGACGTATCACCTCCCAAAAATCATCTAAATAGTGAATTAATTTCCCCGATTCAAAATTAAATGTAATGCAAAATTCTAAGAATCTTGAAAATCTTTCAAAGGTTTTGCAGCTTATAGATGCTCCAAACGGAAGTGCCTTATCGAAATAAAACTTATCATTATAACGAAAACCAAGCAACTCAAAATCTGAAGGTTTAATAGGTATCAGACGGTAAGCACTTTTAATATCGGATTTAAATAGTTTGCAGTGCTGACCTAGATCTTGAATCATTTTGATTGCCTGATCGAAACTGGTGTTTTGAACCGTGCACAAGGCCGGATCAATATAATCATTGATTGATTCGCCCGGCGGATATGACAGATGATGAATCATTCTGAACTCCCCGGGGGTTTTCTTCGGGACCAGACCAATCGGGGATACAATTAAGTTTGGTAGTGGACGCTCATTGAATGGTCCAGCTACCCGGCCAGCTATAAGTTCTTTATTAATTTGACTGTTTATTATTTCCGGATTTAACACAGGTAGAACGTAGATTATTGGAATCACGTGCAACACGGGGACCGGAATACTGTAGTGGAAAGCCATTCTTAAAACCATCATATAAAACCTCTGCTTCAATTTTATTATAGAATTGTAAATAATATTGCATGGCCGAAAGTTTAATTGGTGATTTCGCAATACATGTATTATGAATATCTGGATTTGACTGTTTTTCTGATGTACAACCATGATTCATCGATTTACTTGTTTGACTGCCCTCTATTGTAACCTCTCCCTTTTGAATGGGACTGAGACCCCCTACCTCGAAAATTACGTTGAACAGCTGGTGTACGGCTTTTCTGTGTATAACCAACTGAGTTTGAAGAGAAACAGTTTATCTCAGGATGGGGCGCATTTTACACTTCGCGCATAAGTAGGGAAATTTGCAGTTTTGCCACGTGCATCTACCATTATTAAAATCAAGACACGTGTACTTAAATTTTGAAACGTTTTGGGCTTGATCAGGCTGTCTAACTTGCATACACCGCCACCATAGGTCATTGTTGATTTTAGACCATGTTGAAGGTGTAATAGCCTGGCGTAAGCGAAACTGCTCATCATAAGTTTTCCAGGCTGACCCGCCTTGTTGCATAGCACATTCTCTTATATTGTACATATAATGTAGCAGTAGCATAAACTTTGTCAAAGTTGGCATCGACGCGCGGGTTATCCTGCACGTGCTCTTGACTCTGCTGGGACTGGGCGCTACCACTAGCATTTACTGCTCTACCTGCACGACGTGGAGCTGAATTTTCTTGACATTCGACGGTCCCTCGTGCATTTCTCTGCAAACGACGCCCCCCTAGAGGAATTTCAGGTACTGAAGCTGCCTGTCCTCTCTCGCTGCGTCGCATAGCCGTTTCTTTTCTCGAAGGTTGAATCCTTCGGCGTGTACGACCTCGTGGCATGGCAAATAATTTTCAGCTTACTCTAATTTGGTGTGTTATAGCTTCGTCGTTAAACAATAACTGAGAAAGTTGCACCAGAAACTCGAGCTTTTATATTATTAACAGCTAATTCTTTAAACCCGGCTCTATATAGAAATGGTAAGATAAACACGGTAACCAGTGTAATGTAAACAATCTATAGATAATGACCGAGGTTTGCCGATTGCCGCGTAATGATAGCTTTAAACAAGGTAGCAGACGATTATTTCTCTAAAATAAATGGGATTATTTAATTCTAAAATAATCTTTATTATTTACAAATAATAATAGCTCGTTTTATAAATTTACATAAAATAGAAACAGCTTCATTTCGTCTCCTGTTCTTATTTTAGTGTCCAAACAATCAAAATGAGCTTTATTAACTGTCTGCATTCTCATTGTGGCGATATCTAAAAGTACATATTCTGTTTACATGAGAAACGTTGCCTTTGGGTCATCCGGACATCAACACACATTGCTTTAAGTGGCAGTCTAAATTTAACGATATATTTCTGTATTATATAACGAATGTTTTTATGGAAATGTTATCTTCTCTTATTATTTATTTTTCCACTTTTGTGAACGCCAGGAAGCTTGTTTGCACACCTGAATAAGAGGGAGACTTCTACATTTGCCTTGCATCTGATAACATTGATTTGACATTATTTTTCATGTATTCATTACATGTACTATGATTTGAATGTTTGTATATTTTGATTGAAAAATAAAAGAGAAAAAAAAATGTTAATTTTTCGAATGGCATGTATACACCAATGCAAAATGCAGTCTCGCTTGAAATTATATTACATTGACAACTTTTTGGAACTTGTTCCAATAACTCTTGCTGATTTGCTGTGAGAAATCAGAAGAGTTTCCTCTCTTCTGATATTAAAACAATCTGTGAAAATACTAGCACAAATTTATTCTACAATCTCATATCACGGCATATAGGGTAAAAACCTTTTTTGGAAATAATATCGTAACTCTGAGCACGTTAAGGAACATTGCTGTTTTGAAATTCTGACTACAGTTGGTTGCACCTTTCCCCATTACCTCTTACCACGCTTAACATGTTTAATAGACTATCAAGAAAACCATTCACTAAACAACTATACAGCAAACAGTGCAGACTATG